CCTTTTGGCCTTAGGCCATGGATTTGGTTTAGTGGGAAGTTCTTCCCTTTATTTAATATAAAACATATCGTTTGGTAGATGATCTCGTCTGCTTCTGGATTGGTACATGTAGATGTCATCGTTTGGGGTTAGTGTTTAGGTGCCAGGCCCGTCTTATCGTGGCCTCCCCTTACTCCACTATCCCACTCTCTGGGTTTGGTATCAGTTTTATTTGCGGAATAGTGTTTAGGTGCCAAGTTCGTTTGACCGTAACTCCCCCTTACTCCACTATCCCATATGTTGTCAACTTCAACCCTAACGGCACACAGCATGGCGCTCTAGTGATAATACAAACAATTTTACTATCCTGTCTATTTATTATTATACTCTTCCAAAAAAGTAGGGGATATTGAAATGCAAATACCTATGCAGGTTGTGAATGTGATATGATAAATAGTTATGGACACTTGACATGCTTTGAGAGTATGGTAACCGATGAAGAACTTATTGACCCAACATAACCACTGAGCTGCACATGCGACACACAATAGCGGCATACACGTTTTGACACTTCAAGAAAGGGTTGATGAAAACTGCCGCGTGCTGGTTTATTTATCCATGTTTGCTTTCCTATCGGTTCTTGCATAAGATTTACTGTTTAGCGTATCTTTGCTTTAGTGTGTTACGTTTAATTTGATTGGGAGACGTGTTCGTCAACGTCAACCGACAACACTGCAAGAACTGGCCGTGGCACTGTAAGAGGAGTGGGTCAGATTGCCCCAAATCGGGATTGAACGGTTGATTAGGATTAGGAGCATGCCACGCTGAATATCTGAGGATTGGTGGAGCAATTACTCATTACTCAATTTGTCCCTGGATAATTAGTCCCCTAGGACTATTCGTATCGTACGACTATTCGTCCCCAGATAATTTGTCCCCAAAGACAATTCGTCCCTGGACAATTTGTTCCCTAGGCCTGTTCGTCCCTGGAGAATTTGTTCCCTTAGTCTATTCGTCTCCTAGGTCTATTCGTCCCCTAATTACATGTATGGCCCCTTTACGAAAAATCACGTTTTAGCTTGTGGTCCCTCTGGAGGTCACAATTATTATCCGATTTAAAAAAACGTTCGAATATATCACCGTAACACCGTATTTTTGGTTCAGTTTAAATTTCGTGAAAATCGGACCAAAACTGCCAAACAAAATGGCTGCTCCTTGTACGCAAATAGTGTAAACATCTGGTATATCAAGGTTGTGGATCCTCTAGAGGTCACAATTTTGATCCGATTTTGATGAAACTTGGAATACATGTTTATAACCCGCAGATCTTAGTTCCTTTCGATATTTGCGCATATCGGATCGTAGATCGTAACCTCGTGAATTATCGCCCTTGATTGTACAAAAAATCACATTTTTAGCTTGTGGTTCCTCTAGAGGTCACAATTTTTATCCGATTAAAAGAAAATGTGTGAATAATCGTGCATATCTGAATGTAACTTCCTGGATTATGGCCCCTGATTGTTCGAAAAATCACATTTTTAGATTACAGATTCTCTGGAGGTCACAATTTTTATACGCCCACATTTTCATGTGGACGTAGATTGTCGTCGCCCCTGTCCGTCCGTCCGTCCACAATTGTTTGTGAACAGTCTACAGGTCACAATTTTTATCCCCTTTCAATGAAACTTGAAATATAGGTTTATCACCCTAAGATCTCGGTTCCTTTCGATATTGGCATGTATCGGACCGTAACTTCATGGATTATGGCCCCTGATTGTACAAAAAATCACGTTTTTGGCTTGTGAACACTGTAGAGGTCACAATTTTTACTTGAAATGTATGCTTATAACCCAAAGATCTTGGTTCCTTTCGATATTCGTGCATATTGGAACATAACTTCCTGAATTATGGCCCCTGATTGTACGAAAACTCGCGTTTTTAGCTTGTGAACCCTATAGAGGTCATAATTTTTCTCCGATTTAAAAAAACGTATTATCATATCCCCGTTACACCCAAAGGACGACTGAATTTAAATTTCGTGAAAATCGGCCCAAAACTGACAGACAAAATGGCCGCCCTTTGTTCTCAAATAGCGTAAAAATATGGTATATCAAGGTTGTGGACCCTATAGAGGTCACAATTTTTATCCGATTTTGTTGAAACTTGAAATGTAAGTTTATAACCCAAAGATCTCGGTTCCTTTCGATATTCGCGCATATCGGACAGTAACTTCCTGAATTATGGTCCCTGATAGTACGCAAAAATGCCTTTTTATACGCCCACATTGAAATGTGGTCGTATATTGTCGTCGCCCCCGTCCGTCCGGCGGTCCGGCGTCCACAATTGCTTGTGGACGCTCTAGAGGCTAAAGTTAATATCTGATTGACTTTAAATTTATACACAGTGTTTAAGGTCTTGAGACGAAGAAGCCTATTGATTTTCACCGATTTCCGATAATTACTGCCAGAGTTATGGCCCTTGATCACTTTGAAAAATCTTGTGGGCGCTCTAGAGGCCAAAGTTAATATCCAATTGACCTTAAATTTATACACAGTGTTTGAGGTCATGAGACGAAGAAGCCTATTGATTTTCAACAATTTCCGATAATTACTGCCAGAGTTATGGCCCTTGTTCACTTCAAAAAATCTTGTGGACGCTCTAAAGGCCAAAGTTAAAATTCGATTGACTTTAAAATTTATACAAAGTGTTTAAGGTCATGAGACGAAGAAGCCTATTGATTTTCAGCGATTTCCGATAATTACTGCCAGAGTTATGGCTCTTGATAACTTCAAAAAATCTTGTGGATGCTCTAATGGCCAAAGTTAATATCCGATTGACAATAAATTTATACACAATGTTTAAGGTCATGAGACGAAGAAACCTATATGTTGTTGATATTAGTCCGATAATTACTGCCAGAGTTATGGCCCTTGATCACTTCAAAAAATCTTGTGGATGCTCTAGAGGCTAAAGTTAACATCCGATTGACATTAAATTTATACACAGTGTTTAAGGTCATAAGATGATGAAGCCTATTGGTTTTCAGCGATTTCTGATAATTACTGCCGGAGTTATGGCCCTTGATCACTCTGAAAAATCTTGTGGATGCTCTAGAAGAGAAAGTTAATATTCGATTGACTTTAAATTTATACACAGTGTTTAAGGTCATGAGACGAAGAAGCCTATTGATTTTCAGCGATTTCCAATATTTGCTGCCAAAGTTATGGCCCTTGATCACTTTGAAAAATCTTGTGGATGCTCTAGAGGCCAAAGTTAATATCCGATTGACTTTCAATTTATACACAGTGTTTAAGGTCATGAGACGAAGAAGCCTATTGATTTTCAGCGATTTCCGATATTTACTGCCAGAGTTATGGCCCTTGATCACTCAAAAAATCTTGTGGATGCTCCTGAGGCTCAAGTTAATATCCGATTGAGTTTAAATTTATACACAGTGTTTGAGGTCATGAGACGAAGATTCCTATTGATTTTCAACGATTTCCGATAATTACTGCCAAAGTTATGGCCCTTAAGTTATCATCCGATTGACTTCAGATTGATACACAGAGTTTAAGATCTTGAGACGAACAAGTATATTGATTTTCAATGAATTTTTATGACTTGAACAGTTAAATCTATGATATTAAAAGCTTTGCATACAAAACGTTAGCATGGGGCAGAACTTTATAAAAACCAAACAAATTCTAATAGTTTTCTGATAATTACTTCGTGAGTTGTTGCTCTTAATCAGATTTTAGTGTATTATAAATGTTTCATTACCGAAAAAAGTAAAAATATGTGACAACCCTTGTTGACTGCCCGGACGATTTAGTTGCTGTGGGCGTATGTTTCGTTGCCTGGCAACCTATCTTTTGGCTTGTGGACCCTATATAGAGGTCATAATTTTTATCTGATTTATAAAACTGTGTTAATATATCACCGTTACACCCTAAGGACGACTGAGTTCGAATTTCGTGAAATATCGGCCTAAAACTGACAGACAAAATGGCCCAGCTCGTTCTCAAATTGCGTTGAAACTTGAAATGTAAGTTTATAACCCAAAGATCTTGGTTCCTTTCGATATTTGCGCATATCGAATTGTAATTTCCTGAATTATGGCCCTTGATTGTAGGAAAAATCACTTTCGTTTTAGCTTGTTTTCTATCCATCTCTCGAAAATGTGGGCGTATCCTGCCTGGCAGCCGCTGGTTTTTTTCTGATTTTAAAAACCATTTAAATATATCACCATATCACCATGATGAAGGTTGAATTCAAATTTTGGGAAAATCGGAATGAAACTGTCCGACAAAATGGCAGCTCTTTGTACCCAAATTGTGTAAAAGTATGTATACCCTGTAGAGGTCACATCTTAAAACATATTTTTATATCCCAAAGATCTGTCCCTTTTGATATTTGCACATTTCAAACCATAAATTTCTGGATCATTGTCCCTGATTGTACAAAAAAAGGCGTTTGTTTTAGCTTATTGTCTATCCATCTCTTGTAAAATGTGGTCATATCCTGCCTGGCAGCCACTGTTTCAGATTTTGTGTAAAGCATTTGGACAATGAGAGGATGAGCTCTATTGATTTTCCCTTCTCTGTCCATCTCTTGCAAAACGAAGGCGTATCCAGCAACCGTTTGTTGATTTTCCTTTCCTCCATCTATCTGTTTTATTTTACAGCAAGTGGATCATGTGGGTAAGACGCTGGCTTGCTAGCCTGGAGGTCGGGTGTTCGATCCCTGCATTGGCCGGGAAAGTTCATCCAGATTTTCCGGCGAGGTTCTACCTTGTCAGTGATGCAGGCATGATAGAAAAACCGAGGTCCTGTGTATACATTGGAATGCACGTAAAAGATCCCTTGGCAGTTGGAATTCAATATAAGAGTAGGCGAAAGTGCCGCTGCCCAGGCAAAATTTCCCTCATAGCACCCTGTATGGCGTATGCCCGTCTTCATTAACCCAGCATAGGAGCAGAACAGTAGGACGTTAAACCCCATTTCATTTCATTTATTTTACAGCATAAAGAAACATCAAGTTCATCAACATTGCCTTCTTCATCAAGTTATACAGGCAAAAAGTATATGTTATATGTGGGTAACCTTACATGGGTAAGTACTAGGTTTACCTGAATATCTACAATTTTTCTAAAATTATTATTATAATGTTGTAAGCTTATTACTTGTTAGTGCTGATATCAAGTAAAATTTTATGCATTGATGGATCGGACGCAAACATCGATTTTCATATCGATGCATCAGGAATTTTTTGCCGCCATTTTGTTAATCAAAAATTACAGAAATAACATTAGTATTTCTGATAGAAACATAAATTTCCCTAACATTATCGATATTGGCATGTATCGGATCGAAACTTCATGGATTATGGCCCCTGTTTGTACGAAAAATCACGTTTTTAGCTTGTGGACCCTATAGAGGTCACAATTTTTATACGCCCACATTTTCATGTGGACGTATTATGCCGTCGCCCCTGTCCGTCCGTCCGTCCACAATTGTTTGTGGACTCTCTACAGGTCACAATTCTTATCCGATTTCGACGAAACTTAAAATATGGGTTTATCCCCAAAAGATCTCGGCTGCTTTCGATATTGGCATGTATCGGATCGAAACTTCATAGAAGTCATAATTTTTATCCGATTTAAAAAACCGTTCTATTATATCACCGTTACACCCTAAGGACTACTGAGTTCGAATTTCGTGAAAATCGGCCCAAAATTGACAGACAAACGGCGCATATCGGACCATAACTTCCTGAATTATGGCCCCTGATTGTACGAAAAATCGCGTTTTTAGCTTGTGGACCCTTGGCTATAGAGGTCATAATTTTTATCTGATTTAAAAAAAACATATCACCGTTAAACCCTAAGGACGGCTGAGTTTGAATTTCGTGAAAATCAGCCCAAAATTGACAGACAAAATGGCCGCCGTTCGTTCCCAAATAGCGTAAGAATATGGTATATCAAGGTTGTGGACCCTATAGGGGTCACAATTTTTATCCGATTTTGTTGAAACTTGAAATGTAAGTTTATAACCCAAAGATCTCGGTTTCTTTCTATATTTGTGCATATCGGACCGTAACCTCCTGAATTATGGCCCCTGATTGTACGAAAAATCGGTTCCTTTCGATATTTGCGCATATCGGACAGTAATTTCCTGAATCTTGGCCCCTGATTGTACGAAAAATCGCGTTTTTAGCTTGTGGACCCTATAGAGGTCATAATTTTTATCCGATTTAAAAAAACGTATTATTATATCACCGTTACACCCTAAGGACGACTGAGTTTGAATTTCATGACAATCGGCCCAAAATTGACAGACAAAATGGCCGCCGTTCATTCTCAAATAGCGTAAAAATATGGTATATCAAGGTTGTGGACCCTATAGAGGTCATAATTTTTATCCGATTTAAAAAAACGTATTATTATATTACCGTTCCACCCTAAGGACAGTTGAGTTTGAATTTTGTGAAAATGGCCCCAAAATTGACAGACAAAATGGCCGCCGTTCGTTCTCAAATAGCTTAAAAATATGGTATATCAAGGTTGTGGACCCTATAGAGGTCACAATTTTTATCCGATTTTGTTGAAACTTGAAATGTAAGTTTATAACACAAAGATCTCAGTTCCTTTCGATATATGCGCATATCGAATTGTAATTTCCTGAATTATGGCCCTTGATTGTAGGAAAAATCACTTTCTTGTTAGCTTGTTCTCTATCCATCTCTCGAAAATGTGGGCGTATCATGCCTGGCAGCCGCTGGTTATCTGATTTTGTTGAAACTTCAAATGTAAGTTTATAACTCAAAAATCTTGGTTCCTTTCGATATTCGCGCATATCGGACCGTAACTTCCTGAATTATGGCCCCTGATTGTACGAAAAATCGCGTTTTTAGCTTGTGGACCCTTGGCTATAGAGGTCATAATTTTTATCTGATTTAAAAAAACATATTATCACCGTTAAACCCTAAGGACGGCTGAGTTTGAATTTCGTGAAAATCAGCCCAAAATTGACAGTCAAAATGGCCGCCGTTCGTTCTCATAGCGTAAGAATATGGTATATCAAGGTTGTGGACCCTATAGAGGTCATAATTTTTATCCGATTTTGTTGAAACTTGAAATGTAAGTTTATAACCCAAAGATCTCGGTACCTTTCGATATTCACGCATATCGGACAGTAACTTCCTGAATTATGGCCCTTGATTGTACGAAAAATTGCTTTTTTAGCTTGTGGAACCTATAGAGGTCATAATTATACGCGCACATTTTCATTATTATATCACCGTTGCACCCTAAGGACTGCTGAGTTCAAATTTCGCGATTTTAGCTTGTAGACCCTATAGATGTCATAATTTTTATATCACCGTTACACCCTAAGGACTACTGAGTTCGAATTTCGTGAAAATCGGCCCAAAACTGAGAGACAAAATGGCCGTCCTTCGTTCTCAAATAGCGTAAAAATATGGTATATCAAGGTTGTGGACCCTATAGAGGTCACAATTTTTATCCGATTTTGTTGAAACTTGAAATGTAAGTTTATAACCAAAAGAGAGGGGTTGGATGGCTGAATGGTTAGCGTGCGCGTGCTGTATCATAAAGTCTGTCATTGAGTCGATTGGTGTGGTTTCGAATCCCCGGTTGTACGTGGCAAGGAGTAGGGTCGCCTGTCCAACCTCGTGGGTTTTCTCCGGGTCCTCCGGTTTCCTCCCACTGCTAAAGACCCCTACGCGCAAGCGAATTATGTAAATAAACTTAAACCATGTGTTAGTCCCGAAATGACCTAGTTTGTGTCGAGTGGACGTTAAACCCCATTTCTCTCTCTCTCTCTATAACCCAAAGAGCTCTGAATTATGGCCCTTGATTGTAGGAAAAATCACTTTCTTGTTAGCTTGTTCTCTATCCATCTCTCGAAAATGTGGGCGTATCCTGCCTGGCAGTCGCTGGTCAATGAATTTTGTTAACTTGAACAGCTAAATCCATGATATTAAATGTTTCGTATACTAAAGCCAAACGAATTCTAATGATTTTCGGATAATTACTTAATGAGTTGTTACTCTTAATCCGATTTTAGTTGATTATAAATGTTTCATTACCGACAATAGAAAAAATATGCGACAACTCTTGTTGACGGCTTGGATGACTTAGCTGCTGTGGGCGTATGTCCTGCCTGGCAGCCGCTGGTCAATGAATTTTGTTAACTTGAACAGCTAAATCCTGATATTATATGTTTCGTATACTAAAGCCAAACGAATTCTAATGATTTTCGGATAATTACTTAATGAGTTGTTACTCTTAATCAGATTTTAGTTGATTATAAATGTTTCATTACCGACAATAGAAAAAATATGCGACAACTCTTGTTGACTGCTTGGATGACTGAGCTGCTGTGGGCGTATGTTCTGGCAACCTTTTTTCTATAATATTCAAGCAAAAATTCTTGTAAAAAATTGTTTCTTTCAGTGGACAACAGATCAAGATTTAAGTGATGCAATTGTTTCTATAGGTGTATCAGATTTGTTGGATATTAAATTTTATGAAAATAGAGCAAATGGACAATCAAAAGGGTAAATAGTAAGCTTTCATTAAAAGAGTACAATTTTTATATGCCTATATTTCAGTGTAGTCACAATATTTTGGCTAGTGAAAGGATTCTGTTCTGATTTGGTTTGAAGCATTGTCACGAGAGGATGAACTCTATTAATAGTAGGGGTGATGATTTTCGTTTCAGAAAATAGCAAATTCCGTTTTAAGTATTTTTAATTCCGTTATTTTCCGTTGCAGAGCTGACCATATTTCGTTTTTTCGAGATAAAATGTTATTTTATGAATAAATGAATAAAACATCTTAAAATGCCTTTTATTACAAAACGGATCATTTTAAACCAATGATAACAAATGTTGAATTGTGAATGACTTGTAATGTTCAATGACTAGTTATTCTTTATACCTGTTTCCCGAATTAAATAACAGAAAATTACATCTTGTGAGCTCGTTTCATCTTTTTAGCAGACGAAGCCATTTTTCTCAGCTGCTAGGTGTAGTCGCGATTTATCCAAACATCTTCGTAGTTACTACCGTTTCTTCGAGAATAAGGGCTGGATTCAGAAGGCTACGGTATATTTCTGATGTCACGTGGTTAATGCGGATAAACACGAGTCACGAGCCCGGCAGTAAAATAAGAAGTAAATGAAACGATTTTTACTTTTATGAAGTGACAGAAGTTTTTTTTAAGACATATATATACATTACAATGTTTAATTCAAGTTAAACTACAGAGTAATTTTATAATGGGATACATGAAAGACGAGTTTTCGTTTCGATTAAAATTATGATTCCTAAATGATGAAATGAAAGTAGCGAAATACTAAAATAGACAGTAACAAAACCACGCGATATCATTCAATATTTCCGATTTTTATGAATAAAAAGATGAAATACTTGGATAACTGCAAAATTATTTTGAGTTTGTGTTTAGTATCAGCAAATATCGGCTTTTCCGTCTTTTTCCGTGTGAGATTTCAAATTCCGTTTTGAGTGGACAATTCCGCGATTTCCGCGATCACGGAAAATCATCACCCCTATAATAGTCTGTGGTCACAAGCTTTTGTACCAGAGTTATGCCCCTTTTTAATAAAACCATGTGGACACAATAGAGAGATCGTTTTTATATGCCCAGATAGAAATGTTTACACTGTATGTAATGGTTAATGACTGAGACAGAGGGGTTCAAGTTAGATGAACACCCGAGCTTGTGCAAGGTTGTACACTTAGAACACGTCGGCGTTCGAAGTGTTTAATTGCGCGAGCTCGGGTGTAAGAAGGTGAATGAAAATGAACGGATACGAGAGAGACGCAAGTTTATCACAGGCCCTATCACAGAAAATAATTTAATCAATTGGTCTATTAACAGGTATGAATACCTTATTTTGCACATCATAATATATTGTTGGTTACTCAGCAGATTGGGGAGTGGGTCAATAACCTGAATATAGCCAGTGTATACCTGTTTATTTACGATGCATACAAATCAGATCATTCCAATGTCAGGTTTTTGAAATACAATTTTAAGAAATGTGGATTGGTCGGTACGGAGATCGTGAAAGTTTGACCAAATACGATATTACCGTGTTTTCTATCGTGGAATTCCATGACTTACCGAGTGAATATCGAGAGAAACGATAGCACTGTCTTGTGTGTTGAAAACACGGTGTAACTCGATGTTTTGATTAGGTGAAATACATGTAGCACTTTAATTATTATAGATCAGTTACTATATTTGACGGCTAGTTCGAAATCGGAACAGGAATAAACACATTTTTCGGGAAACCCCTGGTACTATTCATTCTTCTTCTAAACAGAATATGCCTAAAGATACCAATACGTTATTACTTCATTAAAGATACATTATGGGAGATTTTTATAGAGAGTTGGCCATTCTTGCTATAACAGTTCAAAAGTAGATGATGAAAGAAGAATATATATTGAAAATTTCAGTCAAATTACTTTATTCTGAACATAGTTATCATCGTTGTAATATTTGACTAGAAATGGTAGTGAAATGTGCCTTAACCTTGGTCGATCGTTTGATTGACAGGCGTTAACTCCACCTACGTATCTCGATTATCAAGTAAAGTTTTCAATGGCATGCGGAAACGCTCTACAGCGGCCTCGCTAAGTACAGTCTATCATTTAGCCTCGATCTAACTGACGTATTCTTATCAGGGTGCGCCATATTTGATTTAATCAATAAGTGAAATCCTATTTAAATCCGAGCTGTAGCCGAGCCATCCGTGGGTCTACAGAGTTGATTTTGGGCTTGTTGTTTAAATAAAGATCTAATTTATAATTTCTATAACATCTGAAGCCTAAATTAAGACTTGCAATAATCAGATTTAGCTGTTGCATAATGTATGTTTAATATATTCCATATTTTTAATACTTGCGTCAATCAACTATTACAAATTCATTCATATTACGGAAAAATGACAAAATGCGCACAAATCGATTCTGGTCTTACTGGGGTGTAGTTTTATCCATCCAAATAGTAATTCACATACTGACAAACAAGTCACACGGTGCATACATTATTGGTAAATCACACCTCAACTAATATATCGTAATTTGCGATACATATTTGGATATTGACACGAAGATTTATCCACATTTCTCATCACTTTCAACGAGTATAAAATGTCAAATAAATTTTATAAACAAAACTGAATTCTCCGTGTGACATTTTCTGACTGAATTCATTATACTATACAGGGACATAACTCTATGAATTGGGACTATTAAACCGGAAATAGGGAATCAAGTAGTACCACTCATGTTGCGAGACATGTCAATTTCGAGTAATTATGTCAGTATTCAATTTTGAAAAAAAAAAAAAAATTCAGTGTATCCCCCACGTATTATAAATAAACTATACAAAATAAATACTTGTAAACGACTTAAAACGTATTGTAAAATGGGAAATCAATGTAATAATTCCCGTAAAATATTATTGTTTATATCGCGTGCTTCTAGTTAATAGAGATTATTCGAAAAATACTGTGTGCGTCCGATTGAACAAAAATAGTAACACACGATAAAAAACAGACGAAATTGTTTTCTAACAAAGAAATAAGAATTAAAATGAGTGGGACTTCGGAAGCCACTGCCAAGAATTGGCTTCAGACATTAGACCTAACCAAAAGTCTACATTCAGAAATGGTCACAGCTACCTGTAGCAGTGCTAAAATTCTAAAAAAAATCTACAGAAACTGATAATGCTACGGGTGGAAAAGTGAGCGAGAAGTCACATGACGTAAACAAAGCTCAGTATCGGCATTTGCAAACTTTGTGGAATGAATACTCTGGAGTTTATAACAGTATTTATTCATCATTTTAAGCAATAAAATATCGTAAATAACATCAAAAGGAAAACATTTTTTCAATATTTATGTTAAATATCATCCAGAAAAATCAAAACTATGATATATCACGGTATGTGTTTTTTTTTACTATTAATAAACTGTGTCGCGTGAAACTTGAAAGCTATTTGCCAATAACGTATATTTTTGACGGATGTCGGAATTTGTTTAATGGAATATAACGACAATAATGAAAGGACAGATAGTCGAACACTAAAAGAGGTCAATTATGATATGTGTGTATTGTTTTTATTGAATAGGGTAAACTCCTAGCTGGTAAAATATAAGATTTTTATCACAATAAAAACGATTAGTTCGGGAAAAAACTGAAGAATTCCGATTGTCTGATGAAGAAATCTGAATACTTGACGCATGCGCAGATGTCACAAAACGCCAGATATAGACATCGCTTTATTTACAATTTGCAAGGAAGGAAAATAATCAAAAGAATTTCCGTTTTTTGTAATAATTATGGTCTTGATTTTGCGTAGAAGAAATCATGTCATTCAGTAAGAGAAAAAATGTTAAAAGCATTTGTTATCGTGTGACATATTTTGCAATATGCAGTCCACAAAATCAACACGCATTTTGCGTGTTTGTGTCCGTCAAATTCGATCCCTGCCGACAATAATCTCCATACCGGACGTATTAAAAAACTTGATTTTTCCATCAGATCTTAGCGGACCAAATTAACTAAAGTGTCGCTGGATAGCCCCATTAATGGACTATCATATGACATCTGAATGATACGATTTAGATGGCTAGAAAATAAATTAGGGTATGCCGAAAATCTAGTATTTTCCGTTTTGGAGCATTTTGAGACGCCATTTTCTCCAAGTATCGCTGGATAGCCCCATTAATGTACTATCATATGACATCTGAATGATACGATTTAGATGGCTAGAAAATAAATTATGGTATGCCGTAAATCTAGTATTTTCCGTTTTGGAGCATTTTGAGACGCCATTTTCTCAAAAACGAAAACTATCGGTGGACTATGGCGTGAGTCCAAAAATGAAAGCATTGAAATAATATAAGTGGTCCAAAAAGAGCCTCAATCTTGGAAAAAAGTTGAAAAATCCTTAAATTACTGAAAATGCTCTTCTATTTTTCTTTGTTGGGAAAACAGCTGAATGAATTTTTCTGAAACTTCTTGTACAGAAGGTTAGGTAACCAAACAACTTGTTAAAACTATCCCGACAATGATCCAAAAACCGGAAGTAGTCGAAAAAATATCCGATATGTTGATCTTGTGAAAAAAGTGATTACTACGTAAGATTTCATTGAATCAAAACAACTAAAGTGTCATTGGATAGCCTGAACAATGGACGATCGTATGACATCTAAATGGTAAAAATTTGCTAAAAATTCGCAGGTTAGTCAATATATAATGGGATGCTGAAAATCTAGTATTTTCATTTTTGGGGGCTATTCAGATGCTTTCATCTAGGCTTGGGCGATAATGAAAAATAAATATTGTGATAATAATTTATCTAATATCACGATAAACGATATTATCGTGATAATTTTTACGTGTGTCTATAGAAGTCTAATTTTGAATTCTTGTGACGGTCTTGACCCCTGTCTTGTGTGCATACTGTATCAAATACTAATAAAGAAAAAGGTATGTTGTATTTATTATTTTATTAATAT